TCATTGGCTAAATGATAAATATACGAATCAATATAATTAATCGAATTAAAAATAAATATTTCTCTATGTATTCATTGTTATTGTAAATATATGTTATTACAATTTATCTCGATAAATTGCAACTTTTCCATTGTACATTTTTTCCATCATCAATTATTTCTTATCATTATTATACGAATGATTTTTTTTTACTCTCCTTATCTATCTATTAAATTATATATACAAATTTATAAATTATATAATCATAAGTTTATAAAAATCATTGTGTTCTTAGCATATGTCTCTTCCATCCTCTTTCGATATTGAAAAACAAATATGAGAAACGTTCATGCATGATCTTCGTATTTGGGTGACCTAGATTTCCGTAGCGCAGCTGCATACATTCAGATGGTGCATCGACAGAATGACCTTACACGCTCTTCTACACTTCTACAATCCTAAATGTGCACACGTTGTACATATGTGCATGTATACAACCCTCTCGTGCAAATTTAAACGAGACAGGTAAATGTGACACTGAAAAAATTTAATTTGCGGTTTTATAGGATTTGTAATATCAATTCAAATTTTTTTTGGAATTTTTTGTTTAAATTTCCGTAATATTGTATATTTTAATGAATATTTAATTACATGTTTCTTGAATTAATATTTTAATTGTTTAAAATTTAACAAGTTTAAATGGATATTCTTCTATGGATTGTTCGCTTAAGATTAAATTTTGCTGAATTTTATTAAATATATATAATACATTATTATATAGAATGTATATAGATATATTCAAATTTATATGAATTTAATCTATTTGATTTATGTTTTTTTATATTTTTTCATATAATTTTGTTATTCAAGTTTTTTTTTATTAAAATTTATTTCAATATAATTGATAATTTTAGTTATTAAATATTAGTTTAATTAGAAATAAAAGCAATTTTTTTTTATAATTAATTGTAAAAAAGAAAATTTATTTTATATACAGATTCAAGTTTCTTTCGAAAAATTTTTCAAAATTATTTTAATTATATACAGTGTCAATATATTCATATTGATTTTTAGAAATGATTCCCTAAATGTTCTATGAATATATTAACACCATCTATCAATATTAATTTTCTCTCATTCTCTTCATTTTCTACTCTCTCTCTCTCTTCATTTCACTCTTTCAATTCAATTCAAATTCAATCTAATATTAATACTAATGTGTCTTACAAAAAATATTAGGCATTTCAACAAGTTAAAAAAAATATAAATTTTTTTTGAAACATTATTTAAATTATTAAATTATTTTAAGAATATATGTAATTTTTTTAAACAATATAATGTAATAATTTAGTCATTTTATTGAAAAAAATATTTTTGTAATAAAATATTTTTATGACATTTCAATATACATCTAATAATAAAGAATTTTAGAAAAATTTTAAATATTTAAATTTTTCGCATATTCCTTATAATCATAAATAGAAATTGAATATACATAATTTTTTACTGAAATTAAAATCGATAAGATGTTTCATTGTGATCAATAATTATATTCATTTGTACGACTTTTCAAAGCGTGAAAATCTCGAAGAAAATTTTAATAATTATATCCATGCTATCTATTGCATTATATTCAAATGATAATTATTTAATAGATGTAAAAATTACGAGAAAAATTTTAATTCTATGACTTGCATCAATAAATCAAATATTTGATGAAAAGTCGATTTCGAATCATTAAAGGTTAGAATCTATCAAATTCATTTCGATAATATATCATTGACAATTAAGAGTCATGTGGCGAAATTCTTTGGTATTTGACGAGCTGCTGTCTGGAACGGAGCCAAGCAAAATCGATCGTCGGTTAAAGTACATAAGCCGTGCTTCTTTATTTATTCACGCTACTTGCACTATATGCTTCAACCTGAAGTTTCATAGCTGAGAAATTGTATGTGTGTATTTGTACATTATGCGTGTGTATGTGAATGCTTGGCGCATCGATGACTTCGCCATCCAATATTTCCTTTTCATATTTTCATAGGAGTAAACTAGACGAAAGAAAATAATGAAATAGTAAGAAAAAATAAATAGAAAAGAATCTTTTTCTACACTCGTTTAGACATACACTCATTTGTAGAATTTTTTTGATGTAAAATTTAGATTTTTTTCATTATTAGATTAAAGTGAAAATTATTTGTTGATAATGTAAATTATGTAAGATAAAATAAAATAGTGTAAGATAAAATAATTATATATTATAATTCAAAAGTTTTTATTATAATAAAATTTTATAAAATATTTGATATTATAAATAATATTAATAATAATATTATAATAATAATAATATGAATAATATTATGAATATTTATATGATTAATTTTAATTATATAAATAAAATTATATATATATATATATTAGTAAATTTCATTTTGTGTAAAATACTATTAGGGCCAAATAATCTTTCTTTCTCTTTTCTTTTAATTATATAAAAATTCATTTCCATAATATTTTATTTTTAGAGAATTTCTTATATATACATAAAATGTCTAATGAAATGAAATATTAGTGATAATTATTAAATGAGATATTAAAAATCTAGCAAATATAATAAAATATTAATAGAAAATGATATAAAAGTGAGTAGAAAAAAAAGAATAACATTTAATAACATCTGAAACATCTAAACTTTGTTTTCGAATTGAAATTGAATTTAAAAATTCATTAGATGTACGTACTTTTGATTTTCTATAAGATATGAATAAGTATATATATAGGAAGAATATAAAATAAAATTTTTTACTTAAAAACTAATTTTCAAGAAAATTGAATTCGAAAGTACTTCTTAATCATTTCCTCTACTTCTTAATTACTTCAAAATTATTTCTTAACTATATTTTCAATCTCTATTTCCTTTAAAACGAAGATTTAAACAACAAAACTTTATTCTATTTACTTTTTATTTAATTTCATATATAATCTCTTATTATTCATATTTAATTGAAATTAAATTAGTTAAATTTATGTGAAAATTTATCAAACTCGATTTATGAAATTTTAAATGATAAATTTGATTTTACTGTTTTTTTTTTTAATTCATTTTTATATATAAAATCATCTTTTATTCATATACCATCTGTCTTGAGATATCCTACATGTATATTCACGATAAATCTTTCTTCATTGTCCATCGTTACGACAAGCTATGCATCATTTCAATTTATTACATTCTCATATAGCTATATTAAAATAATTAAGTATTGAAAAATTTCATTAAGAAATTTTCTTACATAAAGAAATTGCAAATAAAAATGACTGTTAGATTGCGAATTTTTATGCAATTAAAATAAAATCAAGTATTTAATAAATATTCAATAATATGTAAAAAATATATGATATTATTTAAAATATATATTAAGCTGTAATATTTTTAAAATATCCATAATTTTATTATATAGATTTAACTCTATAAATCTATAATATTATATAAAAATTTTATTATAATTTTTTGATATGTTGTTTATCATTGAAAAAGAAATTGTTTTAGAAATTATAGAATATATTATTGTATAATATCATGTTGTTTTTACAAATAAATATAATCAAAATATTTTAAATTTCAATATTATTACTATATTATTATTATATTATTATTATATTATTATTATATTATTATTATATTTTTAATCGGAAGTTTTATTCAATTTTATATATTAAATTTTATAATATTCGATTGCTATAGAAATGAAATTGATATCA